CCAGGATTGGACAGTGTTTCATTGTGCTGTGCATAAGGTCACTATGGGTCGGTACTGACTCAATGGCACCTAACAACAACAACAACAACAGGGAAGCTAGAAAATGTCGATTATGATAACTAAGCTGTAGTAGTCCTGGTATGGTACAGTAGATTAAGCATTGGACCTCTAACCAGAAGGTTGGTGGTTCAAACCCAACCACTCCTGAGAAACTATACAGGGTTGCTATGAGAACCAACTCGATGGCACTTAACAGCAACATTCTATAGAAGGGGAAGCACAAATATATGTTGAGCTAAAGTCTCATATTCTTAAAGAATAATATCTTGGTACAGTCTTGGACATAGCAGAATTAGAAATCATTTCATCCCCAAAACAAAAGTTTGGTACTTATAATCCGTGGACATGTTTTTGAATTCTCAGAATTGTTGAAGGAAACTGGATTTTTTCTTTTGCATCTGTGGTTTCTAGATATGCTTTCAGATCTCTTGGTTTTGAAATGATGAAATATAATTAAAAGAACAGCTGCAGCTATCTTCCAGTCTATGGTTGATAGAAAATGTGTATCCATTTTACATAATTCGGAATACTCAAGATACATAATTAAAGTAAAGATAATTGTGGCAAATATTGTGATTTAACCTACATATGTAAGAGTCAATTTAAATTCTAATGCATCAGTTAGGGATGACATTTGACTGCAAGCAACCAAAAGCCAACCTAGCAAATTACAGATTTATTTTCTTTCCTTGAAAACCCAAGTTCATAAAGTAGAGAGTTGCTGGGATTGATTCTACATCTCAAGAATACGGACAGCTCAACAATTTTCTTGGCCTTTCGCTGCAGCCATCACATGCGCACACCAGAAAGGAAATAGGAGGAATTGACAAGGAAGAAGTCAGTCAGTGCCTAGGGAATGAAACCAAAATTTCCCAGAAATCATGAGCAAATTTAGCGTTTTAGAGCTATGTCAAATGGCCACCACTGGTTTCAAGACAGTTGATTTTAACTAGATAAATTGCTATGCTAAACAAAATTTTGGATATGTTAATAAGAATGAAAGTGCTGTGGATAAAGGATAGCAGCATGCAGTGTGTGTGTTTTCCAGTTCCGCAGTCCTGGTCAGATGCTGTAGGGTCAGCATCAGATTGCAAACCACAAGGTCAGCAGTTAAAACGCACCA